AAAATAAAAATTGAGTCATAACTAGCTCAAGTGGTATATTATACGCATTAGTTTTGAGCGCGTGTTATACTTAACTTGATAAATTTACAGAATAAAGTTAATAAATTTACTGCAGTAATAAATGTATTATATGTTTTATCGTTCTGCCTTTAAACCTGCAAAGAACTGTCAGAACTCACTGACACATTCCAACAGTCTGTATTTGCAATCGGCTAAATCATTCGGACCATTTTTGACTTTAGTTTGAATAGCTTTGGCTGAATAAGTGCCTTAAATATTAGCCAGCTTCGCAGAAGAAATGTTTGGAACCAATGTTTGAAGTCTGAAGTCTGAAGTCCCTTCACGGCTTCCGTAAGTCTATTTCCTAAAAGAATTAAAAACTAAATTAAAATATTGTTCGTAAAAATTCCAAACGTTCCTTGCGTGCAAGCTATTCGCATGACAAGGCACTGCAAACTCTATTCAGGGAAGATACTAGAGTTTCAAAACTTTACAATTGCTCCAATAAACCAGTGAATGCAAGCGAGGAGCGATTAGTTTTAGAGTGTTGCACTGTCTTTTTCTATTTGAGTGTACTCCTACGTTTATTTTGTATCATCAACACTCTGCACGTTGGAGTGGACTATTTAATTATTTATTTAATATGCCGAATATTGGGGTGAATTTCGATAAAGTGGACATGTTTGGGGCTAATATTGGGGTGAAATCAACCCACCCACCTGGTGAAAATCCGTCTATGCATGGTGATAACAACGCATTCTGTTCTTTATCAGCCTTCACTTTACTTCTGTGGTGATTTAAATCTTTCCTCTAGATAAAGTAGAGAATAATAATAATGGAAACTTTATTGAAATTATATACGTATATATACAATTATAAATCTCACTAATTTAGGTAATTTATAATTGACTACTTGAACCTACTTAATATTTATATATTAATAATGAGTATCCTTAAATGTTCAGTAATTCCGGATTTAACCAGTCCTTATCTCTGCAGCAAAATATATAATATGTTGTCCTAATCGCGATAGACATAATTTTCCTGATAGCGAAATGTTGGTGTCCTTTATCAAGACCTAGATCATTTAACATATCTAAAAAGGAATGAAATTCTTTTGAGAAAACGCCTAAAGAACTAATTGACAAATTTACAAATTTTACGGACTTAAATTGTTTCTTTTGCTGTGTAATGAGATCTTCGTATCTTCTTCTTTTCCGATCAACATTTGTTTGTAGATTAGACTCATAACCAACAGAAAGTTCAAGGATATAGAGACAATCAGAGTTGATAGATAGAAGTAGGTCTGGGCGGAATGTGTCACCAGTTACAATTGATGGGCTTTTATAACCAGGAAGATCGACGAAAAGATTGGAGTTGTTTACAGGTTGTAGCGTTTGTGCTATGAAGTTCAGAACAGAATCATGTCTCCATGTAAATCGTGGGAGGTACGTTTGACATCAAGCAACTACGTGTAAAAGGGTTTCAGGGTTTAAGCAGAAGGAGCAATCAGAGTTGGACAATATTCCCCATTTAGTAAGGTTTTTACGAGTTGGAAGTGAGTTATTAATGTAACGAATGGTGAAGTTATAGATGTTCTTTGGGAGGTTTGATTGTGATTTAGACCATATGCCGTTTAATTTCGACAGTGAAAACTTAATGACATTTGAGAAGAAGGAGCCTTGCAAAATCAGATGATTCTGCAGTTTGTCTTCTTGTCCGGAGGTAAAAGTTTTAAGGACTTCCTTTGTCGAGGTGTAGACGTCGTACTGAATGTTTTTGTTTTCAGATGTTGTTTTCCAGAGGTCTTTTATGGAATGATTTGGAGAGGTCTTTAAGGCGTTACGAGCAACTGTTTGGCACTGAACAAACTTAATTGACGGCGGGTAGATATTTAGACCAAACTTTGTTACTGGTAAGGTAGACGTTAGATAGAGTTCCTGATATAGGTATTTCAAGCCATTTACGTACGTACTTGTTCACCACAGAATCCATATTTTCAGAGACCCAGGTTTTTGATAAGGTGGTTACAGTGAAATGCCAGGAAAGTTTGGATCGGAGGTAACGACTATAAAGCAAAAGTTTATTTTTTGGGTGCAAAGGTTTGAGATCAATTTCAGACATAATGTCGTCCATGAGAGTGATTAGCTCTTGTTTGTGTTCTTTTTCGGACATACTGAAGTCAAAATATTTCCCCAAGTATCGAAACGACTCTCCAATTTTAGTGGCAGGTATCAATTCATTGTTAATCAGAAGTTTAGGTAAATATTGGATAGATTTTGTTAGACTTTTCCTGATCCCAAATGTTGAACACTTATCAACCCTGACAATCATGTTAGACCACTGGCACCAACCAGATCGAGAATCGATTTAAAAGATGTTGATTTTCTGAATCTTGACCGCTTATTACCGCAGCATCATCAGCGAACTGAAACCAATGGACTGGGTTTAAAAGATTTGTAATGAAACCAAATTGTCGGTATTTGTCAGTTTTTGTTGCATGCCATATATGGCATGCAACTTTCATATAGCTCTAAATTTCGTGTCGCGGTGCATGAGCGGCGGTGAGCGGTGATAAGCGTACCAGTCACGTGGCAGATTCGTTAAAAGACGACTAATACCGAGTTTTTCCGACGAGCATTTTTGTGCCGGGTTTTCGTCGAGGAGACGCAAAGAAATATTGATTATTTGCCGAAAATTCACATAATTGAGCGCCTTAGAAAAATAAATCGAGGTAGGTAAAGCTTTACTATTTTTAACTTACCTTATATTCTGTTATTTGTTGTGATTTTGGAGCCGTTGTGCTCGCACTGATTATTTATCAATTATCAGGCGTTTATATTTATATATCGTGAAAGCCTCAAAGCCCACGCTATTAAAACACTCGATTTTTATATACTCAAACTGAAACGGAGCCATTGTGCTCGCACTGATTATATTCTGTGCGAAGCTTCAAAACTACAGCACATTTTGTATAATTTTAAATATAAATATCAAACAAAATTTGAATTATAAATAGTATTGACTATTGAAATTTAATTAAAACAACGAAATAGCAACCATTGTGAAGTACGCATAAGGTTCAACATGACATTCAGCATGACATTCGATATAGTGTAAATTAACTCATTTCAATCACTCAAACAAACATACAGGTCATATTAGCTGACTAGTACCTTTATGCTTTTTCTACTTCGACAATTTCAATCATAGTTTAATTAATAACCATTTTCAATCTATTATAGTAATTCACCGTTTCCACGGTTTTTTATACCTTTAAAAAGTTACAATAAAGCTAAATCTATAGGAAATAACGTTATTTAGTTATAAATTTGTTAAGGAAATCTAGCAGTCAATCGCTTTCGATAAAACCTTGACCGACCTTGACCTTGTTATTACCGTCGCTTGCAACTAACGATGAACGGTCGCTCATAAAAACATTGCCTATCGTGTGAGAATCTTAAAGGTGATCTATAACAAAGCCTTTGTTTACATTTTTGTGTCCAAAATATTGAGCTTTATTCGACAACTATTTATATTTTCAAGCTTCTAGAGTATAATAAATGATCAAGAAACAACAATCAGGCTTTTCAAGAACTCAAAACATAGTTAAACTGTTTGTATCATAAAAAGTGGGCTCATTTGAGCACATGCGCAGATCGGACTGTAGATCACCTTTAAGTTTCTTATTTTGACATAAAAGCTATTTTTTAAATAACATAACATAACAGCTATTTTTCAATATTGTTACAGTCAATTTCAGCTGACTTTTCATCGTAAGATTCCGAACTTCGTTCCGAACTTCGCAAATTCGTTGCGAAGTTCAAAAATTCATAATGAAATTCACAAACAAGTTTGTAAACAAAGCCTCTGATTGGCTATTAAAACAAACCAGCCAATGAAATGCCCAGTTTACAAACCTGTTTGTGAATGTCATTATGAACTTTTGAACTTGGCAACGAATTTGCGAAGTTCGGAACGAAGTTCGGAATCTTACGATGAAAAGTCAGCTGAAATTGACTGTAAACTTGTTGATTCAATATTTTAAAGGTGATCTACAGTCCGATCTGCGCATGTGCACAAATGAGCCCACTTTTTACGATACAAACAGTTTAACTATGTTTTGAGTTCTTGAAAAGCCTGATTGTTGTTTCTTGATCATTTATTATACTCTAGAAGCTTGAAAATATAAATAGTTGTCGAATAAAGCTCAATATTTTGGACACAAAAATGTAAACAAAGGCTTTGTTTACATACGGACTGTAGATCACCTTTAAGCTTCACGCCAGTTGTACCAAAGGTTATAAGTGCTATATCTCATCATAAGTTTCAGAAGGCATGCAACATGTACGCACTGCGTACCTATTTTTATATGTTGAATAAAGGTATTGATGCACATATTAAAAATTAGAGGACTAAGACAATCTCCTTGAAGAACTCCACGACCGACAGTAATAATTTTTTTAAACCTTTACAAATCAATTACATAGCCTGACCCATATAGTCATACATTTATGAGTCCAGCATCACCAGAAATTTGGGACAAGATGGCGATGGACATGCGCACTTTGCCTTAATATGGCGACCGAAAATTACTATAAACAGTATAGGAGTTGACAAAAATATAAAATTTTAACCTACTTTGTTTAAATATTTCATTACTGTGGACTTCGATAATAACAACGACATGAACAAGCAACATTTCTACATAAAGTTTGTTAGCATTTGTTTACGTCTAGGTGGTTCCCCAGATACACGTACTTCCACTGGCAATTCCATCGAGTTGATAGTGTAATTTTATAGTAAATCGCTTATACACCAGATAGATATCCGTCGAATAATGTAGTATCCTTTCGGGCGATTCAAGCTGTGGACTTCGCGATGTAATTGTCGATGTTCAAACAGTTAATTTATCCAAAAACAATGCTAGTTAATCCACGACAAACCGGTTCCAAAATCGTTTAAAAGTTGGCCTTTTTACGGTTCTTGTATGTCGCCATTAGGCCATCTTAATATCCAAAAACGACAAGTTTTAATACAAATTTGAGCTGTTTCGAACAGCGATGTTTCTTGTTTATTTTGCAAGACTAGATCCAGGCTCTCACACGTAAAAACACAGGGATATTTTAGGATTTTTTAGGATATTTGCGATATTTTTAGTCTTGATAAAAATTTGCGGGGTTAAAGGTCAAAATACCGGAAGTGCTCAGCAAAAACTGCAAAATATAGTTTAAAATCACAATTTTTTGCTGAATAATACTTGAATTGGAGATTCAGAGTAAAATGCGAAGTCGTTTTACTTATGTTAGGCAATGTTAGGCATATAAAACGGACTTAGCCGCTGACTACAAAAGCGGGAGCAAAATGTCCCATATTTCTGGTAATGGACCAAATTTTCCCTAACTACACTTAATAAATAAGACAACAGTTCTCTGAATAAAGCAGGTCCGTTATCTACACTGTCACACATTAGTAGCTAATAGAAGTTGAGCTTTTCAGGGCAAGACCAGTTCTTATTTCTCTTACAAAATATGTAGAAAGTGGCACGAAGTGCAACCTCCATACATTTTGTTATGATACGACCGTCTTGCAAATTTAACAACCTACATAGCCTACGAAATTGGCCTATACTCTTCGTGACGAACCCTAGAGTAGTGACTTCCAAAGTTATAACTTTAAATCTATCACACGGTACGAGTAACTGTGATCGCAGTGCCCGATATTTTTCTTGTTTACGTCGTCTTGCAATCATGCAGTTCGTTTCATATGGGACAGTCAATTCAATCACATACAAATCTCTTTTATAACGAATCGTAATATCTGGCCTTAACCCTTGAAACAGATTGGACGTACATTTCAAGCCAGAGTCTGGACAATCGGCAAAAATCTCCAGGTCTTCCGACATCACTCTCCTTAAGTGATGAAGAATGGTGTTTAATATAGAATCATGCCTCCACGTATACCGATGTTGTTGTAACGCTACAGGGCAATATGAAAGAACATGAAGCTGTGTTTGAATTTTGTTGCAAAGGTCACAATTTGGAGAATCTCGAATGTTCCACCGCTTGAGGTTAGAATTGTTGCTCAAGTTAAACACTAGAGCCCGTCTTGCAAAACAAGTTATATTACGGGGTAGTCTGCAAACCATTTCTTGCCAAAAGTGCAGTATTTTCTTGTTGCACGCTTCAGTTAGATAGTTTATAATAATACTTTGTTCCTTTAGCGCAATAAAATTTGCCCAAATATCATTTGTACTTTGCTGTTTCAATAACTTATTTGTTCCGGTTTTCAGTTCGTATCCATTTGTTACATTTGATGATACTTTCTCAATTATTTCATCTGTATTAATATTTTTGGAAGATGTTACAGAATACAGATGTTGAATATCACTGTTCCTAGATGTTTTCAATATGCGCCTAACCGAAAGTTTGCATTGTAAATATATATCTGAAGCAGAGCAAAAGTCAATCCCTAGATATGATTTTGGTAGTTTTAGATGAGTAATATTGCCACTAATCGAGATCTGTAACCATTTTCGAATATACTTAGAAATAGCTGGCTCAATATTTTGCTTTATCCAGGTCTCAGTAAAGGGGTATATAGAAAATCGCCAACGGAGCTTTGAGTAAACATAATTCTGAATAATTCTGATTTTCGAAAAAGGATTCATGGGGAAAAGATCTATTTTCTGCAGATATTCGTCGATTTCACTTAGTATCTCTACTTTGATCTGATCGCATTCCATATTAAAGTTAAATTGCTTTCCAAGATAGTTAAACCCCTGTTCGCATTCAATCGGCGGTACACGCTTGCCCGAGATGATAATAACTGGTTGGTATTGAATTGCTTTTGAGGATTGCTTCTTGATTCCAAAAGTATGGCATTTCTCAACACGAATATGCAAATCCGCCCACGTTGACCATTTATTAAATACATTACAAAGCAATTGATTGTCCTCTTCATGTGCACTTAATATTGCTGTGTCATCCGCAAATTGAAACCAGTGCCTAGGGTACATCGTTGCGTTATTTACATAGCCAAGACATTTTAATTTCGCGTCGTTTATTGTGTGAATCAAAGAATTTACACAAAGATTAAATAACAAGGGTGATAAACAATCACCTTGTAACACGCCTCGTTGCACTGGAATTGGTTTCGTAATGAACCCTTTCGTAATAATTGAGATACTGAAATCAGAATAGAGATTCTCAACAAAGCATATAATTTCTTCAGGAATGTGATGAGCTGTCAAGATAGTTCGTATAAGTTTATGATGTACCTCACCAAAGGCATTTTTCAGATCAATTAAAGTAACTACAAGAGATCTTTGCTTATTTCTGGCATGGTTAATAATATGTAATAATAATTCCGTATGTTCAATAGTCCCCGAAATTCCAGGCCAAAAACCTTTCTGGATTCCCGACTCAATAAATTCGTTTTCGCAAACAAACTTAAAGATTCTATTCCTTAGCAATGATGTTATGACTTTTAGCAAAACAGGCTATAGACAGATAGGACGGAAATTAGCAGGATCCTCAGTTGAATCTTTTTTATGGATCAATATCGCCGCCGCGTGCTTCCAGACAGATGGAATATTTTTTTCGTTCCAGCATTTACAGATAATTCTCCATAAATGCGTTCTTAAAATTGGACAACGTTGAAACGAAATAATGCTTATTTGGTCGAAAGGACACGCAGAGCCACGACTTTTCATTTTTCTGATTATTTTAGAGATCTCACGATACGTAGGACATTCTAAGTCGAAATCTTTACTTGCGGATGGAAATGAACTCAACCAGGACGGCCAATTAAACAAACGACTTTTACTTTTCTCCTTAAATAAGTTCTTAAAATAGTCGAAACACGACTGTTCGCTCAAGTTTGGTTCTAGCTCTTCAGTGTTTTCAAATTCATTTTTACAAAACTTCCAAAAGTTCTCATTTAATTCATTTTCATAATCCCGCTGGTCATTAACGCTTGACTGCATTCTTTTTCGCAATAACTTACTGACAAATTTTATTTCCTCCAAGCTGCCTCCGTTTGATTTTAAATCTTTTAAGCATTTTTTTAACTTTGATTTTGACATACTTCTATAGTGTTCAAATTTATTAGCCGACTTTACCAAACCACATGTATCTTTAAAGTAAGACCAGATAACGTTATTCATGAATACAATTTCCGAATCCAAGTCTCCCAGCTCTGGTCTAACACTAAATTGCGACTGAAAAAACTCGTTAGCTGCTTTCCAACTAAGATCCGATCGAGGAAGTTTTACTCCTGATAACACTTTAAACTTATCGGTCGGAAACAGAACTTCGGTCATGCTTTCATTACTATTTGCAATAGTAATGCTATCATCTTGTTGAGCAAACAGTTCAGCAAAGCACGGGTTATTCTGTACAAAGCATGATCGGCGATGTAAATTTAGTGAACGATAACTATTAAATGTACGCCCACAATAACACATAAAACTTTCTCCTGCGACATTAGTCGACCCTACCGTACATGTATTATTATCCGCAGATGTTGAAGAAGACGCTCTCTCCGTATTAGGTGAGTTTCCGACACCAGTTCGTGATTTGCAACGCCATTGATGTCTGCCCAGCGATTTGAAATCCTTTCCACAATACTCACATATCGTTGCATTGCAGGTCAAAATTTGCCCAAAAATGACGATCAATACCACACAAAGCACCATAATGATCCCTTTCATACTCAAGGTGAAGTTCCAAAAGCTCAAAACTAATGTTAGTGCAGTTAAACTACATGAACTATTCAAAAAGTACAGGAGCGCCGTGAGCGTGAACTGCCCACCTCGCTGGTCACTAATAATAATAATAATAATAATAATAATAATAATAATAATAATAATAATAATAATAATAATAATAATAATAATAATAATAATAATAATAATAAAAGAAATTTTATTAACTTATGAAGTCATCCTATAATTCAAAGATGTCCTGTGACTAAAGCCCTGTTTACACTACGCTCAATTTTGGTACCGTACCACTTTTTTGGTTCTTGGACTACCTAAATAGGTAGTCCGGGTGGTACGGGTACCAATTTTATCCGTGCCGTACCAAAAATTGAGCGTAGTGTACAAACGGGGCTTAATGCACCGTACAACAAGATTTTAACGTAACATAATACTAAATGCTGGGACTATAAATGTATCATATAACAAAATTTAACATCCCATATATAACTTAATAATAGACAAGTCAGAGAATCAATCTTCTAGGATATAAAAAAGGTTTTATCGGACAATTTTGACTTATCAACAGTCAACCCTGTAGAGAGCCGCCATATTTGTTTTGCTACCTGTTCGCAGACGTACAGCCCAAATGTACAGCCCTAATTAGTCGACCTGAGTGTTTAACGCACACACGCAACGCGCAGATACAAAAAACCGGCCTGCATGGTCACCATAGATACAGGATATCTAGATTGCTGACTCATACCTAGGGAAGGCGCCACCATTGGGCGTCACTTGCGTAATAAATCCAAGATGCCAGCTCAACCGGGCAAAAAACTTATACCCTATATACGAAATCAAGTTTTTTTTAACTTTTTTGGTGGTTTTACTACATGGAATCCCTTTCGATCAGACCTTATTGGCAAAAATGATCCATTGCGAATCTTTTGGATGCAGAACAGGTTGTGGTGAACTAGTATGAAAATATCGGTCGCTGAAGGTTGTATGGAATTGGTCATTTGGTCAGTTCGAGTGATTTGTTTGGATTTAAATGTAAAAAGAAAATTTGTGGTTTTCAAAGCAAAGTTATACATTTACCCTCTAAAAGCTGCTAATAAGACCACAAGAAATGTAATATATCTAGATTCAAATGAAATAATTTTTTACTGTAGAGGTCGCAACTCTCGCCCGCGTTTGACCGCCAACTAGTTGTTCAGTTTCCAAATGAGAGTTGATGCGAACCCCTGTTCTAAAGCACAGCGTTTTATAGCGCCCTGATGAGAGCTTTTGGTACGCGCGCTAATTATACACAAGAGTTGAGAAAAATCCCATGCAAACTCTCGCTATATTAGGGACGGATCATGAAGTCTTAAGCCTTGATCAATCGAGGATGAGAAGCGAGAGTTTGCATGAGAGTTCTCTCAACTCGAACAAGAATTGCATGAGAGTTGACGAGGGTTGGCTGATGCTCTCAACTCTTATGCAAACTCTCGCTTCTCAACTCTCATCAACTCTCATGCAAACTCTCGCTTCTCAACTCTCATGCAAACTCTTGCTTCTCACCTCTCATCAACTCTCATGCAAACTCTCGCTTCTCAACTCTCATCAACTCTCATCAACTCTCATGCAAACTCTCGCTTCTCAACTCTCATCAACTCTCATGCATACTCTCGCTTCTCAACTCTCATTAACTCTCATGCAAACTCTCGCTTCTCACCTCTCATCAACTCTCATGCAAACTCTCGCTTTTCAACTCTCATCAACTCTCATGCAAACTCTAGCTTCTCAACTGTCGTTTTCGTTTGACTCTGGCTTTATGATAACTTCTTTTCTTTTAAAGGCAGAACATCAGATCACGAAGAGTTTGGAAATACAATGGAAAACGATACGTTTGAGAACATAGACACAGTAAAGCAAGACTCAGATTATGCTATACCAGTTGACGGGAGAGGAGAGTCGTACAGAGTAAGTTGTTGGAACAACTTACTCTGTTGAGCTAAACAACCTTGTAGCAAGTTATCAACAAGCCGTTAGCCGTTGACAACTTGTCAACAACCTGGAAATTAGCAAGCAGTCATGTTGACGTTTCTAAGGCCCCGTTTACACTATACCGGATTGCTATCGGAGTGGGTCAAATTTTGTAGGTATCGAAAGGCTGTGAAGATTTTTAATGTCAGAGACCCAAATAAACATGCCAATTCTGTCAAACTAATAAGTATTTGCTACTAACCATTGCTCCGTAACGGCAAAAGAAGATGTCGTGACCAGCGAATCCGGTATAGTGTAAACAGGGCTTAAGAGAAATTCTAAATACTTTGTTTAATTTTGCAACAATTGCCGAGCATGCGTACAGCTCATGTTGGAAATCCAACGTGAATCCAGAGCTATGCCCACCCTTAACCTGCAAACGGGCATGCTCGGGGAACGAGATTGCATCCAACGTTGGTTTGAGGTGGCTGGGGGGAGGGGACAAGTAAACTACTCCTGTCTAATAGCCACAATGTAACGCTTTAATAGAGAGTCGCTTATGGTTTTGATCAGAACTCAGTGGGCCTGGGTGAACAGGGGGTGGGCATTTTTCAGAGACAGACCTTTGACATTTATTTCGCCGCTAAAATACATTTAATATTACATTATTAAAATTGATGAAGTTTATTTATATATGAAAAATCGTTATATATGTCAGATGTCATCATGTCAAACCTTTGGCAGGTAAAGCTTCAGCAACTGCACCCCACCTGGCTTCATTCATGGCAGGAAGATATTTCCATCTTGAACCTCTCATATTAAAACACTCCACAGAATTAAGAGTTTCATACTTCTCATTCTCACCTCCCATGACTACAATTCGATCTCCTGTAACAACTGCACAACAATCGGATCTCCTTTTCAGCATGGATGGTAGGAATGAGGTCTTGCCCGTCTTGCAGTGATACATGATAACATCATTCAGAACTTGACCATCCTTATCGCGACCTCCAAGGACATAGACTCTATCTCTCCAACGAGCCGTTCCCATTCGTGTCACAGGATATGGCAACAGTGGCATCTCTTTGCATTCATTCTTCTTTGGATCAAACTCCAACACACTGTTAAGCACTTCGGAATGCTCATTCACTCCTCCAAAGATCAAGACTTTGTCTTCAAATACCTCAGCACCGTGACAATATCGCGACTTTGACATATGGCTGAATTCTTTCATAATTGGTGGCGAGGTAAGTTGTAGTTCACTAATCGTATTGGACCGTCCTTTTGTATATAAATCTCCACCAATGTGAATGATACGCTGGTCGCAAACAACTGTTTGATGAGCATCACTCTTACACGGCAGCTCTTCAGGAAATTCCAACCATCTCAAGGGCAAGTCATTGAGATCCAAGGTCTCTATCATCTCAGAATAATTTCCCCCAACAACAAATAACAGATTATCATAAATAAATGACGAAGCTTTTATATGCCTTCCATTCATTGGTGACACTTCAAACCAACAATTTCTCTCCCGGGAATATATTTCTGCACTTTTTCCAGTTTCACTGGAACGTCCGTTGCCACCTGCTATCAAAATATCTCCTCTTGGTGTATTTAATACTCCCTCAGTTGGAAATGGTAGATTGTTCAGCAGTTCGGGCATTTTTAACTTTGTTAGCATTTGACTCATCATGGCTTTGACTTCATCCATGTCCTTGTTCACTTTGGAAACATTTGCTTTCACACATTTTACTTCTTCTTTAACTTCTTCTACTTCATTCTTCACTTGTTTTATTTCCTGCCTTGCATCATCTCTTGCTCCTTCCACTTTTCCAATGAACTTCTTATTCATTTCAACTAAACTTCCTTCCAATTTTCCCACAACCTTTTCCATTTCAACATGATTTCTCTGCATCTTATCAATCAAACTTCCTTCCAATTTCCCCACAAGTTCCTGTATCTGTTCGCAGTCGTGACAGTTCATTTTCCTATATTCACAAACCACAATCTCATGATGGTCTCTCTCTTGCTTGTTAATCTTCATGCCACAATTTTCATTTGAACAAAACACAGGAGCAAAACCACAACTTGCAACATGATTTTCGAGATCTTCAAGACAAATAAACCGAGCACATCCTCGACTGGCATAATCGCAATTAATCTTCAGCTTCGATAAATAATTATTCACTAACCGCGGTCGACAAAGAGTATATACACTCAAATGTTCGTTACATTCAGGACAGGTTTGAGAATTTACCTTCAAATGTTGAGTGATACAGGCGAGACAAAAGACGTGTTCATTATTTCTGCACATCCTCGGTTCTTTAAGAACATTGTAGCAGATGGAACAATGAAAATTTTCGTCGACATGTTTCTCAAATCGGTAGTCTTCGTAGCCATATTTCTCGACTTCTGTCGAGGAACGAGCCATTTAGCATAATTGCTTCAAAACAATGCTCGGTTTTTCTTTGTAAGAATATATACCAAGGTATTTCTTTACAACATTTATCTTAGATTGTGAAGCAAATATAAAATCGAGGTTTTTATTTGCCAATGTGAGTCATTTATTACAATTAAACAATTGTTACGTCATCAAAGACAAAGTAGAAAAAATATGTACAATAAGAAATCTCCAAATACTTTTATCTTTTAATTATTCTTCTAAAACTTTCACCTTTGGTCATCATTAATTATATAATTCAATAACCTGAAGACGGACAAAAACTGTCCGAAACGTTGTTAAAAATAAAGTAAACCTCTTGAAAAATCCTGTTTGAAAGTGAATTGAATTATATAATTAACTTTTATCTTTTATTTACAATATTTTAATTGCTTTTATCGTCAGTACAGTTTTTGCTAATGATAAGGGCATAAAAGGGCATATTAACGCTTTATTTCTTAGGCTTGGCAGTTATGTTCATCACTTTGACTCCTCTATTCTGTGACTTTGATTGCCACAATTTATTCTTTTTCCAATTTGTCAAAATTTCCTTTCAAACTTTTTCAAAAGGAAATTTCCGTCAAAGTGGAAGCACTGTGCTAAGAACGCAAAACGTCATGTAAGCGTCATTAAATCGTATCTTTCAAATATGGCGGAAAATTTGGTTATCTCTAGCAGTCAATTCAGCAGTAATATAAACGAGAATCAATTTGTATTAACAAGTACAACAGAGGAGAAAGATTATTTAGATAATGGAGAATTAATCGAGTTTTATGATTTGGAGAAATGTGTTGGTTGTATAAAGAAATGCGGGATTGTATCGCCAAAAGTAAGTCAAACCACAGCGACCCAATCTTGCAAGGGTCAGTATTAATGAGTATAGACATATAGTATAAATGTATATTATAGTAAAAATATGTCATAAAATATAAATTTTAAAATGAAATTGACTTGCCTATTTGATAGTGTGTTCTCCTTGTATTCCTCCTTTGTTGGACTAATATTTTCCGAGACTTTGTACTCGATGTTAGGGGCGACATCCATACCCAAATTGCCACGCAAAACGTCATTTTGACGTTTTGAGTGGGTGGGTCGGTTTTCAAAAGTCAGTTTGACGTTTTGCGTGGCAGTTTGAATTTTTTTAAATCAGAAAATATTGAACACATGTGCAGAGATGATTTTGGATGTATATGTATAAGTTAACTTGAAGAATTTGTGTATTTCACTGTACCAAAGGGCAAAGGGTTTAAAACACGTTATCAGTTTCCGCGAAAATACGAAAAATATTTATTACAGGTATTAATTTATATCATTATTTAAAACTACATGGGCATTGATTTGAAGCATTATTACTCACTGGTAACACCTTTGAGGTCTCCCTTTTATAGTTTTAATAACAATATACACTTGACGTTTTCATCACTGGGTGGGTGGGTCAAAACGAAAATGACGTTTTGCGTGGCAATGTGAGTATGGATGTCGCCCCTTAGGGGCCGTCGACAAATAGATTTCGTCCCGTATCGCGGACTTGGGCCGCGATTGTTTGAACCCCCTACCTCATCGCGGACAAGTAAAAAATCCAAAGAGAATCGAAATTATGGTCCAAAATATTATCCGAAATATGACTGTGAGCGGTCTACTATCTAGGCAAGAATACAGTATGTAATGCTGACTTTTAACATTACAATCAGCTAATGCTTGTAATAAATAAAAACTAGTTTCTGTATTGTTTAGCAGTTGTAAGTTATAAATACCCGATTGTTGTCCACAAATGCAATATCTATATCCCCGATTGAATGAAACTAGAAAGGTTGTGTTGAACTGCGAACTTAGTCAGAAAAGTCAACACAAAATATTCGGCCGCGATCAGTTGTTCCAGCGGCAACACATCAAATCGGAATTAACCGTAATGGGTTCGGGCATACCGGCATAGGTTATGTACTTCGAAATGTAAATATCAAACGAAGTATTGTTGTTGAGCTTTGTCCGCTTTTTGCGAACTTTTTGTGAGTATATTATTTAAAATGTACTACATTTCCTTCTGATCTTCGTATTATATTTCTAAAGTCAGTTTTCGTCCCAAATATTTTGTAATCGCTGATTCTAATCTACCCCCCCCATCGCGGCCCAAGTCCGTGATGCGGGACGAAATCTATTTGTCAATGGTCCCTTACTAGTATACATGAAACATGATAAAGGCTAACGATTTCTGATCGTCGATCTGACGGCACGGCACTTCGAATCGAAAAGTTTCATACTCAAATCGCCAGCATGCACAACAGATGCCGTTCTTCGAAAATACGGAGATACTTCGGAGAGATATACAAGTTTTGGACCATATTTTAACAATGGAAATCAAAACCCATTTTATATTGAACTTGCCCAGGCCGAAAATTACTACGGCGAACGTCTGTGCAACCAGGCCTCCTTTACCATTGGGTTTACAGGGGGGAGGATGCCACTAATATATTAACGATCATATTTCGAATTAAAGTGTCATATTCTACCATGCTTTCCAACAAAGAGCTGCTGTATATTTCTTCTTCCTTAAATTCCTACAATCTCCGTCCTTTAGTTTTCTTTTCTTCGACAACATCTCGAGTTTTATACAGTATCCGTTTGAAGGAGTTTTTATTTTGAATATCAAATTTCAAATAATGTAAACAGTCGCTATCACGGTTGCGATTGGCTGGCTGTTACCGGAAATATCTGCTTCCCCCCTGTAAATCCAACGGTAAAGGAGGCCTGGTTGCACAGACGTTCGCCGTACTACGTAGTAATTTTCGGCCTGGGCAAGTTCAATATAAAATGGGTTTTGATTTCCATTATTAAAATATGGTCCAAAACTTGTACATCTCCGTATTTTCGAAGAACGGCATCTGTTGTGCATGCTGGCGAATTTTTTTGGAGAATATTTAAGCGATTTGAGTATGAGAATTTTTTATTCAAAGTGCCGTGCCATCGGATCGACGATCGGAAATCATTAGCCTTTATCATGTTTCATGTATACTAGTAACATCAAGTACAAAGTCTCGGAAAATATTAGTCCAACAAAGGAGGAATAAAAGGAGAACACACACTATCAAATAGGCAAGTCAATTTCATTTTAAAATTTATATTTTATGACATATTTTACTATAATATACATTACTATAATATACATTTATACTATAAGTCTATACTGACCCTTGCGAGATTGGGCCGCCTGTGGTCAAACTAGTATGGAATGACACTTTTTTGTGCACCGCACATTTGACAAAATGTGCACCAAAATACTTGTAAATATATTAGCCGGGCACATGTGCCGTGCACACCACCTTCAAATCAAATCAAATTTATTTTGCCAAATGAATATACATAATAATTACGATTAACACACACGCACACAAACAAAAAATATTTATATAACAATATAAAGAAATAAAGGCAAGGTAGCCCAAAATGAAACCAAGAGGCTTATTTTATATTGGGCTCCTTTTTCACACAATTAAAGCTGATAGATCAGTGGTCAGTCACACAGAATATAAATCCAAACACAGAATTAAATACGAGAAAGAAATAAAAGAAAAAAAGAAAGTAACCAATCACAAAAAATAAAAACACTCACAAACGTCAATATCACAATGTATATAGAAAACTGTTTAATTTAGAAGAGAATGACGTAATACTAGGTGCACTTCGTATGTCATCACTTAATGAATTAAAAAATTTAGGAGCTTGATAAGAGACAGAAAATTTTCTAATATTAGTCCTACAGAACGATAATTGATACAGATTAGTCGACCGTGTGAAATAATTATGAACTTGGTTCACAGGTAGGAAGAAATTGTCAAAACTTCTAGGTAGTAAGCCGTTGTGATATTGATACATGAATTTTCCAAGATGATGCAAATAAATCCAATCGAACTTAAGAATTTTTAACTTAATAAAAAGCGGATCAGTATGTGCATCAAATGGTTGTTTATCGAGTATCCTAATAATACGCTTTTGAAGTAGAATAATACGATTAAGATTAGTGGGGTACGTAGAACCCCATACAGTTATACAATACTGTAAGTAAGGGTAGATTAGAGAAAAATATAACTTACGTAAAGTAGATTTGGACAGGAAAAAACTCGCTTTGTATATAATACCTACAGATTTTGATATTTTCCTGGCAACGTAAGAAATATGAGGTTTCCAGGAAATATGTTCATCTAGAATAACTCCAAGGAAAACAACCTCTTTTGCCCTAGTGATTTGATGATCATTTATTTTCAAAGATAAATCAATATCAATTCTTTTTTGTCTCGATTTAAATATCACGTAGTTAGATTTCTTTATATTTAACGACAACTTATTGGCTTTAAACCATTCAGATATTTTGTCAATTTCACAATTAACAGTATTTACAAGAGATGAAAATTTTTGGTGAGAAAAAAATATATTGGTATCATCGGCGAACAAAATCAATTCAAGGATATTGGAAACATTACTTAAGTCATTAATATAGAGGAGAAATAAGAGTGGCCCAAGAATAGAACCTTGAGGCACTCCGCACTGGATAATCGACTTTGAAGAAAAGGTTTCATTATATTGAACAAATTGTACACGGTTGCTAAGATAACTCTTCATCCAATTGAAAGCTACTCCCCTGATACCATAGTGATAAAGTTTATCAAGCAATATACTGTGATTTACCGTGTCAAAAGCTTTAGAAAGATCAAGAAATATTCCAACTGTAAACTGCTTTCTATCTATTGCCGATGTTATTTTATCACATAAGTAAGTTAAAGCAAGAGAAGTTGAATGATTTTTCCTAAAGCCATATTGGTTGTGAAAAAGAATATCCAATATGTTTATGTATTCCATAACCCGCTTGTAAACAACTCTTTCAAGTATTTTTGAAAATATTGGTAAGATCGATATGGGTCTATAGTTTTGGAAAATCCTACGATCACCGGATTTAAATAGGGGAATAACACGAGCGATTTTCATATTATCAGGAAAAT